CCCCAAAACCCCAAAACCCCAAAACCCCAAAACCCCAAAACCCCTTTTCCATATATGCCTTTGACAAAAATAAAATAAAAAGTGTAAATGGAAGATCCAGACGCCATTAACAATCTTGAAAAAGAAATCTCTAAAAAGGAAGAGAAGAAGAAACCTAAGTCTAAGAACAACATTCCTTTGCTAGTCTCTCCTCAACAGGCTGAGACTGTTGAGCTCGACCTGGAGAGCCCAAGATTCAAGCAAGCAATGGAAAACTTGCAGTTCACTGAAGAAGACTTTAAGAAAAAGTATAATAAAAAGAACAGCCAAAGTGATTTTAGACAGCATCCTAATGACACCAAAGATGTTCTTGAGATTCGGAAGAAGCACTACTACTCAAGAATGATGGACACGATCAATCAAGTATTGATGGAACGCAGGAAAATAAGTATGATTATTGTTTTCATATGTTATAGAACTAGGAAGAGTTAAAATAAAGAATGACTCCACTCCAAGCAAACAAGAATCTTTAGGGCTTAGTATGTACAAATCCCAAAAGAAGATCCTGAGCACATCTCCAAAAGCAGTAGTCAAAAGAAAAGTTGAAATTATGGTTCAAAATCAAGAAGATCAAAACTACAAAAATATGAAAAAGGAACTCCAGAAGAAGGCTATCCAAGATCAAGGACCTAGGTGAGCCAACTCCCTTTATTCTACAGCAAAATTGAGATAATGAAGTTCAAACAGACACAAAAGATTCAGGAAGCGAACAAAAAGCGTCGTGAGCTTGAACTTCTCAACCAAAGAAAAATTGATGAGTACAAGGAAGTCATCGATAAGAAAGAGAGGCGGATTGAAGAGTTCAAGTCAAGAAAGATGCTTGCTAGGAGACCCTCACAGGCCTCTTCCCCTAGTATGCGTCATGTACAGTCACAAGAGAACATTGACTACCTTAGCCTGCTAGACCAGATAGAGGAGAGATGCAAGGAAGCCAACACGAGAAAGAACAAAGAGGTAAAGCAAAAGGCTGCAGAAGTCCAGAAGAAGAATCTTGAGACCCAAAGAAAGTTACAACATTTCTATAAATCTGAAAATAAAATTGAGAAGAACAGACAGCTCGAATTTGTAAGTTTCTCATCAGATTCCTCTAATTTTCTAGCAACAAAAATAGACTTAAGCAGCATCTAAAGGAGACTGGGAGGATCAGGTCGGAACAAAAGTTAAGAAATCAGCTGAAAAACCAGACTTCTGCCGCAAACAAAAGGAGAGAAGATCTCAATGCAGAGGAAAAGCTTGAACAACTAATGAAATAAAATGAAAAATAATGAGAATAATATTGAGAAATGTAAGATCTCTCTGAAAATTTTTAGTCAAAGCTCAGAAAGAGCATGAGTTTTTCCTGAAGCGTGAAATCAGAAGACTCAAGGAAGAGGACTTCCTCAAAATGAAGGAGAGGCAGAAAAGACTTGAGTTCATAAGGTAAGTTGCAATTGCACGAAACATATATAAGGAATCTTTCGAAATCTCACTTATTGAATAAATGAATTATCCTCCAAAATTTGAGACTCAGAATATTTGTGGGACTTACACTATTTCACTCTAATCAGTTTGATCATTTTTCTAGAAAAATGGACATTCTCAATAAAGAGAAAATGCATGATAACTACATTAAAAGAAACAAGACTCAGATTGAAAGATTCAAGAAGTCTAGAATGTACTTTCTTTCTCTAAAAATATAGGCGTAGGACTGTTAAAGAGATGTTTGATAAGCAGAAATTATTCCAAACAATGGTGAATATGAACGCTTCTCGAATGAGCCCAAAGAAGTTCTTGAAATCCCAAAATCTTGAACTCAACGTGCAATTCAGAGATCCTCCAAAGCTTAAGGAAGAGGATCAAGATTAATTCATTCAATTCACAAATAATTTTAAGGGGTTTTGGGGTTTTGGGGTTTTGGGGTTTTGGGG